AGCAAGGCGTAAGATAACCTCACTCCTATCCTTTGCATATGTCCCGGAGGCATCTTAAGTTTAAATGTGCTGGGCAAAGTGTATGATTGTTTGTACTTCTGCTGTAGCAGGGTGTTTTTGTTCTGAATGGATGTACATTCAGTTTTATAACGGATGGTCTGAGTGATACTGGAGGAAGCGGTGTAGTCTAAATGAGGGATAGTACTAAGAAGTCTGAGATGGATAAATCTTCTAAAGAGGTGAAAGAAACAAAGGAGTCAAGAACTTTTGATTTGCCGGTAATATTGTGAGCGGATTCGTGATTATTATGCATGTTCGTGTTAGTAGTTGAGAATTATTTTGTTCGTTTACTTAGTTTTTGTTGTTTTTGAGATTTTTAGGCGCAGAATTCAGCAACTTCTGGTACGGTCACTGCTGAATGGGCTGCCTATCAGGTTAAAGATTTCTAGAAGATACCTCATTTGTCAACATTTTAGCATTGGTAGTTGTAGGAACAGTTTGTGGCTGTGCAGGTGCCTCCACATGCGTTCTTGGCATCAAGTCCCCAACCGCACCCATATATATGGGGAGTTCAGGTACCTTTTTTTGCATTTTTGTTTGTCTTAAGTATTAGCTATCTATTATTTCACGTTGCAGGTGTTATTACATGAATGCAAGGCTTTCTTAAGCATTATTCTAGCACCGAAAAAGAAGTTTTAGTCGAGGTCACGAATTAGTAAATTCATCTAGTCTCCTTAACAATCCCTACAGTGTCGAAGTTTTATTTTATGGAACGGAATTGGATCAAGAAACCTTATTCCATGATATTTGCACGAGCTTTCTCTAGTTAGAAGTTCCCGAGAGGACCTATATGATCCATAATTTATTCTTCATTTCCTTTATTTGCTTACTTATGTTGTTTTAAAAATTAATTTATACTCGCGCTAACAAGGAACTTTAAAGAGTAAACAAAACAGGGACAATCCATGATAGGACCAAGTTAATGAGACAGCTTGACATGGCTTAATTCTGAGTGGGATAAGCTTCATGGGTCGATTTCTCTGTCTTCTTTGAACACCGTATCTACATTTTATGATTGATCACACATATAAAACATGTTTTGGATTGCTCAATCATAAATTAAACTAGTAATGCTCAATTATATAAAATGTGATTGCCAGCAGCCCATGTGCATTAAACTGAAGAAAGATTTATTGACTCCTAAAACCTAGGGAAAAGGAAGAATGACTGAATAAATGCGAACTACGTTCAATATAATTGCTTCATCAGCATGCTTCTGGATTCCCACTGGATTGATCTTCTTCTTTGGTGCATTACCCACCCTGGACGATCTCCCCCTCCTTGAGAGAAAGACATAAAAGTTGGCAAACCATCTTTTATTTGTCTGAACATATTCGCCTTCTATGTTAAAATGTTTTGCACTCTCCTAAGTCACTTGACATTTCCGAAAAAGCATGGTTAAGTAGCTCTTATATAAAGCTTGCTGTTTCTACTGGGCAGGTACAGTGCAAAGAAAATAATTAGGTGTGTGAGGCACATTCATCCCGAACTTGATTCATAGTTATATTTTAATGTGAGCCCAAGTCCCCAACTGCCTGAGAAAGATTAAAGATACGCTTATGTGGGCAATTAAATTAATCATCTCCATACCAATTGATGTTGCTATTTACCCTTGAAAATTTATTGATTAATTTGAAGATTGTAATTTTTTGTTTGAAATAATTATTATGCAGCAATTTATGCCACCATTCAACACTCCACCACATCCATATGTTGCACTGTATCCCCCTGGGGGCATATATGCACATCCATCTATACCTCCGGTATCTTGTTGCTTTGTTTGTTAGTGCATGGCTAGATCATATTCCTTTATTGAATCCACAAACATTATATGCTGTCTTTATACTTGATTAGGGATCATACCCTTTCAGTCCTTTTGCTATGCCATCACCAAATGGTATTGCTGAAGCCTCTGTGAGTTACCATACCGCTTGTTATATCCCCTAACTTTCTTCTCCTTTATTGTTTTAATTATAATTCCATTGCTGACAAGATTTTCCCATGAACTCTTGGTAAATTATTTTCAATTTGATTTATAGCCTAACACTCCTGGCTACATGGAACTGGATGGTAAGTCATCTGAGGGGAAGGAAAAACTGCCCAACAAAGTATCTGAGGGAAATGTATCCAGTTTGAATATGGTTATTGGGAAGGATACTGAACCTTGTAAAACATCTGGTGCATCTGCGAATGGTGTACATTCTAAAAGGTATGATGAAATTTTTTATTTTATTTATTTATTTATTTATTTA